GACCATAGTGACTCCATTTTGATACCTTGAATGAACTTTGTCTTACAGAGTAAAGTGCCAGTACTTGGAAGGGGGAACCTGAGAAAAACAATTTTAGGAGAAACAGCAACTCAATGATTCAGATTCTTTGCAGTGGTCACCCTGACCTTGCTATTTTTGCTAACCCCACATTTTGGCTTTTGTGACTTTCCTCTTAGCTTGCAGCTGTGGGAATGGAACCTTGAGGTCTTTCTAGCCAGAAAGTGGCTTTCTTGCTTAAATATGGATTCTGAGAAAGGTTCAGGACTGCACTTGGGTTCCAAATAGCTAGGTGTAGTCACAAGCTGGCTGCAATAAAGACTTTCAATCAGCTCACGGACTGTGTTCTAAGTGATCTCTGCAGGGAATCCACACCATTTTGAACTAAAATTCAGTGCCTGTTTCCTTTCGTCTAAACTTTCTGTTTGCTTATTTCCCAGTGACAACACATGAAACCCAGGATTTATTTGAAGTCAAAGATTACATTTTGGAGGCTACTGTGTAAGACATTGACTCAGGTTGTAGTCCCCACTAAGTAAAACAGCACTGTCACTATCAATTAGCCAAAGCTTGATTCATCAATAAGGAAAAAAGGACAGTAAGAGGCAGGATGTCTTTGGACAATGCTTTGGTGTAAAAATCACTTATATTTTTCACTCACAAGTTCAGGTTTTGTAGAGCTTTTATTCAGAAATAAGCTCATTTTTGTTTACTAAACTCTCTTAATTATTAGGATACATAAATTCATATGGCAGTGATAAATGAAAAAAAAAGCTCAACTGTTTTCAACCAAAGTTTTACATCTTGCTAACAATATCCATCCTTAGAATTCAGCAAAAATTATTGTTTTTAACAATACCTAATGCCATAATTTAGGTAACAAGCCTCAAATAGTTTGACATTTAATAATGATAGAATTCATCACGTTATTGATGACTCCTTTTCAAAAATAAACACCTATCAAAAGCACTAACTAAACAAAACAAAATAAAGTTGAATGTTAAGGACTATCAGTTTCTAAAAATGGGTCTAAGAAGATACAATGCACTTCATTAAAACCCTAGAAGCAGCTATTTTAATGGGATGTCTTGATTTAGAGGCAGAGTTTAGAAAACTGTTTGTAGTTTATCAAAAAGTGTTTCTTACCATCTAGGAGTCTTAAGTAGGCTCATTTTATTTGCTAGTAAAAGAGTTAAAAGGCAGGGAACTCCTAGACAGAAGAAAGCATCAAACAGAATCGGTACATAAAGAAAAGATTATTAGGGTGAGGAAACACACAACCACGTCCACACACGTCCCACAAAAATAATGACCCTCTGTAAAGCAGAAGAGGGTGGTAGTGCAAAAAATAAGAAATGAGCTATTGTAGGGAAATGAGAGAATAGACTCATTTTGATCCCAAAGTGGCAAGAGCAGACTTTATTGGTTTTCAGGGGCACAGGTAAACCTGAAGTACTAGAGGGGACAAGAGAAGGCACCTTGCAGGGTCTGAGAATTGGTTTTGGCAGTGGGGTGGTGGTGTGTGTGGCTTGCTTCACCAGGCCGTGTAACTGCTCTTTATTGTGACAAATGACAGGGTGGATAATTAAGTCAAATTGCCTGGTTTTGAGGCCTTACGACTGGGTGCGAAACGTGGCAGTGGTTGGCTACTTTCTAGAATTCAGTGAGGAATAGGTTTCTTTTAATAAGTCTTGGGCCTGTCTAATGGTCCTGGTTTGGGAGTGGGAAGTTTCCTTTAGAGGAGAAGCCACAGACAGATCTCTCCTTGAAAGTTGAGGGTTTTAATGGTCTTCGGAAAGTCTTACTCCCCGAATTTAGGAGTGGTCAGTCAGGACAGAGGGAAGCTGATAGGCCCCCAAGTTTGGAGCAAACATGTCCTTATTTGATCTTGAACTTTTTCAGGACCTTAACGTCTCAGACTGGTACATAAGGGACTGGGTCCTTAAGAGTGGCAGAAAAAGCTGCCAGGCTTTAGTCTCAGATCAGGAGGCTGAGAAAGAAGTCAGGCATGTTGGAAGTTACATAGTCATGGCTCTCTCTCTGTGCCTGCCTATTTGAGAATCTGTGTAAGTCCTCAGTGTCACAACCCAAAATCACAGTGACAGAAACACCATCAGTTTGTAGTTTTAAAAGAGTGAACGAACCTCTGCTCACAGTTCCTTGCATCTGGAAATGGCTGCTCTGTGTTTTGACAGTGTGCTGCTCTACTGTTGTGTGTTTACAATGCTCTCTAGAACATAATCTGTCTGCAAAGTGAACTTTTCAAACCAATGGCCTTATTTTGGTTTTCTCCCTGGAGGACTTCTGAAGAGGGCAAATTACCAGTGGTAACAACAACAACAAAACAAAAAAAGTCCTTTTTTTCCATCATCCAGTAACTGCCTCTAGGCGTGAACTTTTCTTTTCTAATGAAATTTACATTATTTAACTTGGCTGATGGGAACAGAAGTGAGATGGAAACTTAAACTGCAAATGCTGAAAAGCATTCATTTCAGTAGAAATTATAATTATAAACTATAAGACTAAAGTTACAACTCTTAGTCTAATTTCCACCCCTCTCCTAAACAGCCATTTTCTATATAATTTTAGGTATATTACCTAGCTTCATTTTGTACCATAAAACAAACTAAAATAAATCATTAGAAAAGGTACTCAACAGTTCTGAAATCTTATTTTCTTGAAATGTTCCACTTAACTAAGAAGAGAACACATCTATAAGGAAAAGGATGTCTAACTGAGTTCTTGGTGGTGATTATTCTGATGAGAATATGTAGCATAAAAAAGTAACCCTAAACCTGGCAAGGTGGCACACACCTGTAATCCCAGCACTCAGAGGAGGCAGATGTAGGTGGGTCTCTGTGAGTTGGAGGCCAGCAGTCTACAAATTGAGTTCAGAACAGCCAAGGCTACACAGAGAAACCCTGTCTTGGGAAACCAAAACAAATAAACACAAAAACAAAACATAAACAACAACAACTAAACCAAAAAGCTAGCCCTGTGCTATTCCCTTCAAAATTCACCCATTATGTCTAGCAAAGCCCAGAAGATTCTATGGTACGTATTATCATGATTGTATGCATGGTCATGGTTGAGCAAGCAATCTGGGTCTGAAGTCAGTTGTAGGCTAAATTATCTAGAAATGGTCTCAAATTGGTAACTGTAACATGGACTCAGTAATCAAAGGGGAGATAAAGGGTGGAGGAGAGGGAAATAACATGTCCTCAAGAAACCCGACATAATTAATTCCAGTTATCTTTATTAGTAAAGGGGGAATAGTAGTACACCCAGTTTCGTTTGAGGAACTTTCCATGGACTGGCCGAATTAGCCACGTCTCAAAGAACTTAAAGCAAATCTCAGCTGCTTTATGACATATTGCTGCCAAGAGCAACCTGAGGTTAGCAGAGGTCTTTTCCTACGAAACATCACCAGCCATGCTCAAGCCATACATCTTCAGCTTTCTTCAAATACCTTCACTCTTCTGCCTCAACTCCAATCTCACAATAAAGGGATTATGTGAAATCTACCTAGCCTACAACTCTACACATGCCAACGCCATTTTGAGACCTCATGCAAACATGCGCCATAGTACTACACACTGAGATGCTTAAAGTCACACATTAGGGGAACACGCTACAACAGAGATAGATATTAACGACTATTTCATTGTTTTAATTAATTTATTTTTTATTCACTTTATATCCTGGTTATAGCCCCATCCTTCCTCCCCTCCCAGTCCCCCACCCCGTACCCACACTGACCTATTCGGAATAGGTGAGCTCCCTTTCCCAGTCATCCCAGCTCATCAAGCTGCATCAGGACTGAGCATGTACTCTTTCTCTATGGCCTGGCAAGGCAGTCCCGCCAGGGAGAGGTGATAAAAAAGCTGTCAAGCCAGTCCTTGTCCAATGCAGTCCCCACTTCCTTTACTAAAGGGCCCACATGAAGCCTAAGCTGCCCATCTGCTATGTCTTTGTAGGGAGCCTAGGTCCAGTTCTTGCATGGTCCCTGGTTGATGCTTTAGTCTCAGTAAGTCCCTCTGAGCCCCGGTAAGTTGGCTCTGTTGGTTTTCTTGTGAAACTCCTGTCACCTCCAGGTCCTTTCTTCTTTCCTCCCACTTTTCCACAAGACTCCCTACCAATTGCCCAACCAATGCCTGGCCCAACCAAAGATCCACCCTATGGGAGAGTGCCAATCATACTCTGCTAAGCTTTCGGACAGGAGCCTGTCAGAATTGTCCTCTGAGAGACTCTACCCAGAAGCACCTCAAAACAGACGCTGAGACTCACAGCCAAACATTGGCCGATGCGTAGGGAGTCTTATTTATTTTTAAAAACGAATCTCCCACTGTATCTCAGGCTGATCTGGAACTGTGAGCAATCCTCCTGCCTCAGCCTCTCAAGCAATGGGACCACAGGTGCGATTCACCACCCACGGCAACCAAAATTATAGTCGCAGAGAAGTGTTCCTCACTTAAAACGCAGTAACTCTGAATGCTAACTCAATCTCACCATGCTTGGGCTCGTGAAAACGCTGTCCTGTAAAGTAATAGGCTCTTCAAGAGGGGAAGGCGCCCTGCAGCGAAGGGCTGTTTGCCTGTTTCAATCTAAAAAGCAGCAATCTTCGCTACCTGCCAGAGACGACAGTATAAAATGGACTGTAATGTAGGTTCTAGCCATCCATCTCACTGGCAGTGGAGAACAGCGAAAACTGGAAACAAATGCAATTTGGGAGCTTGGAGATTAGAAAGCGGGGGACCTCCACTGCCTTCCGGAGAGCAGCAGAGGGCGCAAGACCCTCTTTTTGTTTTTTTAAACCAGAGCCCGGAGGGAGCCGAGGCCCGCCCCTCCCTCAGGCTCTGGCCACTCTGAGCGCTCCGAGCAGAGTGATTGACAGGGAAACAGTCAGGTTCGTTGCATAAACGCTTCACTCCGGAAACAGTGGCCCTCTGCTTCCGTCCAGCGCTCTCCCAGCATTCCTTGCGTCCCGGCCCTGCCGTACCGCGTCCGGCCGCAGCAGGCCTTGCGCGCCGGCTTTTGAGCCCGCGTTCCGGGCTTGGCGCTCGGCTGCCCAGGGCTGGGCCCGGGACGCGGCCGCGCGCCATGGCGCAGCTGGAGGGCTACTACTTCTCGGCCGCCCTGAGCTGCACCTTCCTCGTGTCCTGCCTGCTCTTCTCCGCCTTCAGCCGCGCACTGCGTGAGCCGTACATGGACGAGATCTTCCACCTGCCGCAGGCGCAGCGCTACTGTGAGGGCCGCTTCTCCCTGTCGCAGGTTGGTCCCCGCTGCCCCGGGACAGACTCCTCCCAACCTGTGCCCTTTCCTCTCCCCCGTCCTCCCTCCCGGATTCAAAACGTGAAAGAAAGTGGGTAATGACTGTACCTAACGCAGGTGACGCGGGAAATGGGGACACCGAATTGTAGCTCCTCTTGGCAGTTGACCAGTTTGTCTTTCCAAGTCGTAGGACTAGAAACATGAAAATGCAGAAAAACACCTGAAGCTTACTTAGGAGGTTTTCAACTCCGTATTTTGGACGTGCAATGGAGGATCTTAGACCGCCAAATAGTGATAGTCTTATTCTAACTTCATTCTTTAGTGTTTTTAGAAACTTAATGTTGTCTAGATAAACTGGCAACGAGTCATTGCATCATTTAAATATATATACTTGGTATACATACATAATACAAAGATAATACATAAGATAATACATACATAATACAAAGATCCCTTCTCACACGAACACATTATGGGGAACTGCTCTGAAACTGCTCTTGAAGAAAAGCCTGACTTCTTGCTGCTGCTGCTGCTGATAATCTTTGCCATTTTAAGGGTCTGCAAAATAATAGTAATTATAGTGTAATACAGGATGTGTTGCAAGATGTAAAGCAAGACTAAGCGTACATCCCACACTGGCTTTTGTGATTAGAAATCGTGTAATGCAGCCTTTCTGAATACTTCAGTACCTTAAGATCCACCAGGGTTCCAACAATTATTGTTTGCACTCATTGTAAAATTGGGGCCTGTGACATCTATCTTGCTGTCTATTGGTTGTTGATACTTTAATGATTGCAAACAGGCTTGAGACAGGGAGCAAAACTTTCTCAAAATGGGGTTGGGGCAGGGTAGCTCAGTGGTTGAGCGCTCCCGCTCGTTTAGGCAGAAGACTTCCCTGCACCCACCCTGAGCTGCTCATAACCATCTGTAGCTCCAGTTCCAGAGGACCCATTGGTGCCTTCTGGCTTCTGCAGGCACCTGCACGCCTGTGTTGCACATAATACACTCGGGTGTGTGGGCACACACGCTAAATCTTAAAAGGATTTATTTAATTGTGTCACAGATATCCTCTCCAAGTCCTTCATTATCGGAACACATGAAACCATTTTTTGACATATGTGTATCAATGAAATCGTTATTGCTTCTGCTTCATTGACGGGGTCTTTTCTCTTTAAGTGGGATCCTATGATTACTACGTTACCTGGCCTGTACCTGGTGTCAGTTGGAGTGGTCAAACCCGCCAGCTGGATCCTCGGATGGTCTGAACATGTTGTCTGCTCAATTGGAATGCTCAGATTTGTCAATCTTCTCTTCAGTGTGGGCAACTTCTATTTACTGTATTTGCTTTTCAGGAAGGTACAACCCAGAAACAAGGTATGTGCAGAGAAAAGTTATTGCAGGTTTCTGTGCACTCAACTCTACAGTTAACGAATTTGTTTTAGAAGATACGGAAGAAAATGCCCAACAGTTAGCACTTGTGTATGTTTTATAAAGCTAAATGGAAGTTCTCTATATGTAGAAGATACTTGCATTTAAATACTGGAATAAGTTTATTCGAAAATCTAAAGTAGATGTTTATTAGCGAACGAAACCAGTTTAATTCCGTATTTTGTTAAGGAACTTAGGTCCTCCTTAGTGGAATTGAATTTTAGCTGAGGGTGGTATGATTTCATAATACAAGTCTTAAAGGTAAATTGTGTGGGTTTAAACTCAGTCCTGGCCACCACTTATATTAACTTGAGCCTATTACCCCTTATTGAGTTTATGTCCTTGCTTAAAATAATTTAAATTAAATATCAAGTAGTAATAATAAATTCTGTCTCATTGAATTTGTATCAAGAGTAAAGTGGAAGGTGCTTAGGCTGGTAGCAGTGTAACGTTTCAGTAAGTGTTAACTATGGCAGTATAGAGTATGAAAAGGAAGTGGACATAAGGTAATGTCAGGACTCAGGATACATGACAGGAGCAGGGAAATACTGCTACAGCCTGAAGGAATGAAGGAGGAAGGATGGCTTTGTGAGAGCTTCATAAATGGCACCTGTGTTGAACCTTAATGAATGGATAAAGCTCCCAGATAGGGGTTAATCTTGATAGAAATAACATCAGCAAAGGGGATTACTGTTTAAATTATAAGCGTATGAGTTACAGTGATGTGAAATAGGAGCGAAGCCACAAATGTTCTTACCTGTGACAGTACTTTGATTTTTACAGTATTTTCTTTAATAGTTCTACTTACATGATTGTAAATTACACAGTTGCCACTATTTAGCATTTTGTGTAAACCCAGTTACAGTGCACAAGAATTTTAGCAGCAGCAAGATGTAGAATGCGCCACATTTGCAAGCTGTTTTGGAGCTTTGTCTGTGTATTTATTGAAACGGTCTTAGGATCTAGCCCTGGCTGGCCTCAGACTTTCTGTGCAGGTCTGGGTGGCCTAGACTTCACAGAGCTGCCTCTACTTTCCAAATGCTGAGATTAAAGGTGTGTGCCAGCACACCTGGCCTGAGGAGGACTTTAAACAAAGGGTTGGCTTGGTCTCATTTTGTGTGATAGAGAGAAGGATACAGTTCAAAGGATTCAGAACACTTATTGAAATTGTCTGAGAAGCTAGAAGACATTTGAGTTTAGAGTAGTCCTAATTTTTCTTTTTAAGGAAAAGTCCTTGTAATTTCATCAAACAAAAAGGAAGATCGTTGGGCAGGGTAATTAATGCTGTTTGCACATTTCAGTTGTCTCTAGTATATTGGTTTGGAGAGGTGTTCTTACAGGGTTGAGCGGTGCCTGAGATGTAATTTCAAGGTAATGCATCTATCTGTCCACATGTCATCTCTGCATTCCCTGTGTACCTTAGTCCAGTGTCTGACATCCAGTGACCCCCTAATGATATGTTCTATGATTTAAAAGATTTTAAGCCACTAAGAGCTGTGCCTCGTTATTATTTTAGTGGTTTCCAAGCTGATTAATGTAACTAACAATTGCCAAAAGTATTTCTATACGTGGTGTTGCAAAGCCAGGAATAGAGTTCGTGTAAACTTCAATGCTTGTCTAAATAAAGCTGTTCATTAATTCAGCAAAAATGGCATGTTTATTTTATCCTAAATTTTTTTTTTTTCTTTTTCCTTCAAGGCTTCTTCAAGTATCCAGAGAATCTTGTCAACATTAGCCCTAGCAGTATTTCCGACCCTCTATTTTTTTAACTTCCTTTATTATACAGAGGCTGGGTCTGTTTTCTTTACTCTTTTTGCTTATTTGATGTGTCTTTACGGCAATCACAGGACGTCGGCCTTGCTTGGGTTTTGTGGCTTCATGTTTCGTCAGACCAATATTATCTGGGTTGCCTTCTGCGCAGGACATATCATCGCACAGAAGTTAAGTGAAGCTTGGAAAACTGAGCTACAAAAGAAGAAGGAAGAGAGGCTTGCCCCCACTAAAGGACCATTTTCAGAGCTCAGAAGAGTCCTTCAGTTCCTTCTGGTGTACTCCCTGTCGTTTAAGCACCTGAGTACGCTTTTCCTTTTGGCCTGGCCCTATATGCTTCTGCTGTTTGCATTCTTCGTATTTGTGGTGGTTAATGGTGGCATTGTTATTGGTGACCGCAGTAGTCATGAAGCCTGTCTTCATTTTCCTCAGTTGTTCTACTTTTTTTCATTTACTACTTTCTTTTCCTTCCCTCACCTACTTTCTCCTACCAAAGTCAAAACTTTTCTTAGCTTAGTTTGGAAACGTAGAGTTCAGTTTTTTGTGATTGCTTTAGTCTCACTGTTTTTTGTTTGGAAATTCACTTATGTTCATAAGTATTTACTGGCAGACAATAGGCATTACACATTTTATGTGTGGAAAAGAGTATTTCAGAGACATGAAATTGTGAAATATTTATTAGTTCCAGCCTACCTGTTTGCTGGTTGGGCTATCGCTGACTCTTTGAAGTCAAAGTCGGTTTTCTGGAACTTAATGTTTTTTGTGTGCTTAGTCACTTCTACAGTCCCTCAGAAACTGCTAGAATTCCGTTACTTCATTTTACCGTACATTATTTATAGGCTTAATATACCTCTGCCACCCATATCTAGACTTGTTTGTGAACTGAGTTGTTATACAGTTGTTAATTTTCTGACCTTCTATATCTTTCTGAACAAGACTTTTCAGTGGCCAGATAATCAGGACATTCAAAGGTTTATGTGGTAATGGCAGGAATTTTTTGAATTTTAAAAGACTGTCTACAACAATTAACTGGGTAAGTAGAAGTGGAATTCCTTTTAGGGAAATTCAGGGAAATTAAAATAATTAAGTGTGAGACCAGCCTAAAAACCTGAATAATGTTAATAAAGTTGCTTACAGTCCTCTTGAGAAGTGTTGATGCTTTCCGCTCCTCAGGTGTTGAGAACTTTTCTCTCTGAGTATATATTTAGAGAACTGGGTGAGCTCTGTAACACTACAACAATTTACCTGTTTTCTTTTGTAAAGATTTTGAGAACCATTTACAAGTGACACTGATGTATTTCTGAGTACAGTTCCCAGATATTGCAATAAATATAGCTCCAATCGTAGAATAGATTTACGGACATGTTAAATTATGAACTAGAGGCTTTGGAGTGTCTCTCTAGAACTCAAGTTTTTATATTTAGAATACAGAAGTGATGAAGCCATTTGAACTAATTTCTAATTTGAAGTTTATGCAGGCCAAAGATAAACTATTGACTATAATACCTTTTGTAGATAATCTTCCTGAAATAACATTGCTCTGTTACCCAGGGATCATGTACAAAAAAAAAAAAAAAAATGACCACAAACCTTGTACGGTGAAAGTTTTCCTCACATACTTACAGGCAGCACCTAAACTCAAGTGTTAGCAGGACTCATTTCCTCAGGAGATGAGAGTCCATTTTCCCTGCTCAGCTTACCCCAGCAACTGCTTAGAGGGGCCTTATTTTTGGGCAGGTGCCTCTAGTCTATCTGTGTCTTCTTAGGGCTGTCTCCACTGTCTTCTTGTACAGACAGTGCCGTTGGGTTTAGGGATCCACTGATTCAGGGTAACATTACATGGAGACCCTAGATTCCATCTATAAAACTTTGTCAAGTAAGGTCCTATTCATAGGTTCCAGGTACACATCGTTTTGGGGGTGGGATGTAATAACTTTAAGAGATGCCGTTGCTAAGATCTTTAAAGTAAGAGTTTGTCTTTAAATTGCGAGGCAAAAACAAAACCAAACAACAACAAAAATACGGCAGGGGTCATGTAATTTACATTTGTCCCTATTATCCAAAAAACCCAGAACAACTCAGAGGTGAAAGAATCATTGGTTTAGCTTTATTTTATAATCTAGGGAGCGCTACTGGGTGTGATCATGGTTTTCTTTGTTTAGCTTTTGATTCAACGTTTATTCATTCAGCTATCACTTTGTTACAGACACTGTTGCTTGGTCATGTGCTGTGACTGTAAACCTGGAACCGTGAACGGAGCTTACTTTTTAGCTTAGTTTCTGAGCTTCACACACACACACACACACACACACACACACACACACACACACACACCCCTAAAAGGACAAAAACGTTTCCTTTATTGTTAGATTACATTGTCTTTGAGTTTTAAATATGTAGTAAATGTTATACAAGTTTAAAACTACTTGGGTGCAAGTTATAGACATAGTCCTGAGTGGTCAGCCAGCACAGACCATCGCTTTGTGTGATACTTAGAAGGTGTGTCCCAAGTGTAACAGTGATTGAGTTGTTATCAGGTCAGAAAGCATACTGCATTTATGCTTCATGATGGATTTATTACATGGAGAACTAAGTTCAGGAAGCAGGGATTGCAAACAGGTGCAGTTGAAGAAAGCAAAGGCTATCTGATGCTTAGTTTGGGGCTTTTGTGTCTAGGACACTGAAGGATGGGGTGCTTTATTCCAGCAGCCTGCTGTAAGGAGGGAAGCCCTTTGTCCCATGTGATGGAAGGAGACTCCTGACAGAGCTCTGTTTCTCTTTCAGTTTTAAATATTGAGTCACTTCTGTATTATGAGGCATTGTAGCTGGTCTATAGGCAGAGAAGGAGATACTGGCATTTTACACCGATTTCCCTCAAGTATTGGATATAGGACTTGGCGATTCAGAATATAATGCTATGAATTAAAAGGTGCTGTTTATTTCTCATGGTTTGAAAAGGATGTGTGTCGATGCTTTTACGGTAGATGCTTGGTTACTGTTCTTGGGCAGATGACAAGAAGGTGGTCATTTGTTGGAAGCTGCTCAAGTTTCTTAGAGTGAGTGAAAGAAGCTTCACACAGCAGGTTGTTTACCTTTGGTTGTTCCAAATAACAGACTCCTTTCTGCGAAGTCATTTCACTTGGAGAAATCCTTACTTATACAAATGTGAATTATATTTATGCTTTAATTTTTTATTTTAATTACTGAGTTCTTTTTTATTAGACTGAATGGAGTTTCTAACAAGATTACTTATTAACCAATAAGAGGCCTGGATTAAAAGCAGGGGCCACCCTTGCAGGAGACCGCACTGTGGTTCCTAGCCCCTGTATAGGGTAGCACATGACCGCTTTCAGCTCCACCTCTGGGAGATTGTAGGCCTCTGGCTTCTGCTGTCACCTGTGCTCACCTGCACATAATCCCACCACCCCCATACATAATTAAGTTAGAAATCTAAACGGTGAAAGTAGGAAATGTGTATCACCTGCTGGAGCCCAGCAGTCTTTATCGCTAGTCCAGTAGGATATTTGAAAGTGTCTCATGAAAAGGCCTAATCTTTTTCCTGAGATGCTTTAGGTTCAGTAATCACTATAAGCAGTTCACTCAATGTGAAAGTCCATAGGCATGGACTGTCACTTTCAGATATGTCATAAGAGTTTAGGTGCAATGTATTTGCTCACATTTATGCTTTCCATGGTGGTACTTTTATGGCTGCATCTCACTAAGTGATGTGGAAATAGTGTTTTATACTTTACACCTAGTATATAAACTTGTGAGAGAAACTATTGTTCTCATCGTCATCCGTGTTTATCCTGTTATAAAATACACACCATAAATAATGTAATTTATTTCTAGTGACTAGCTTAGGGTATGAGGTATTTCTAGGATGAGATTAACTGGCTTGACATTATACCAGTCATAATTGTCTAGAGGAAAGAAGGAATTCATAGTTTTAATTTATAATTCCTAAAGAGTAAACATATTTTACATCCATTTCAGACTGTATTCAGACTTTAAAAATCGTGTTTATTAGAGTTATTATTTTTGAAGCAATTAGAACTTCTTTAAATAGTTAAGACAACTATAATGTATATACTATTTTTCATAGAGAAAGTTAAAATAAGATTACAGAAAAAAATATACTTGGTTTTGGTTTCAGAATAAAAAGACAAATTGTTGAAGGACAGTTGTTTGTTCCTAATAGCAGATGAGGGTGTTAGCCTGAACTCTAGTTAGTATCATGCTGCGGGTCTTCTTTCAACAGGTGTTCCTGCCCTGTTATATATCCATAAAGTTCATACACACGGCATATATTGTATATTGGCTAAATGTATGTTGAATGCAATTGTCAGCCGAGAAGAAAGCAGATAGCTTAGAAGAGTATTACACAGCCAGCTTAGTGTTAGAAGTAAATTGTGTTTTATACTGAGCCATCCTGACCCCTCTTCCACCTTTGTACGGGATGTTATTTTCTGTTTGGTTAGTACACCCATGCACATTGATTATGTATGTGCTGTCTGTATAGGATATGATTTCAACACCGATTTAAAATACAAACTCATTCAGCAGTGTGTAAGTTTTGATGATTTGTGATACTTTAATCATGAAATTTCAACCAGTTAGAAACATCTTGTGTTTAGTTGTGTTTAGGTCTCGAAAGGATTTGTGTACTTTTATTTGGGTGCTTTTTATGTATTTGAATTCAATGGCAATATGTTTTTAAGAAATATATAATAAATTAGATACTAGTGACATTTTTAATATGTCCATGAACTCTGCACTAAATTCCATAGTATTTGGAAGTTATTTCTAAAATTTTATGATTTGGTAATCCAGTAGTATCTGTATATTATTTTACAATGAGATGTTAATTAGCGGTAATTTCTTTGTACCATTAATTTCTTAGATACCGTTAAAGCAAAAGTAGTTAGGAGATATACATATATGTTTAAAGTAATATTATGCTGGATCTGCATTCAGAAATTTGATCAGTTCAGTTTGAGCTGTGTGTTGACCAGTGTCCTGTTGAAGATGAGTAAGAAGGAAAAGAGTCACAGTGGTTGTCTTTATCTCATGGCATTCTGCTGGTGAGATACATATGCTTCTCACTGCGCCACTCACATGCTGTGATCTAGATGCCGAAGCTGACCAGCATGATCCCTGGTGGCTCTCTGAAGTCCTTCCCATTTGTCATTGAACATGATAAAGCTGTGAGCTTTTGCTCTTCTGCCTCACTCTCAGACTTCATTAAGAGAAAATATGGAGTGAGGCCCTCACCCTGTACTAGTCAGACCTCCCGCCATACTTTACTGTGTAAGTTACATGTGTCTGAAAGTGTCAGAAACTTTTTAGAGCCTGTTTTGAACGGCAAAGATTTATAATTATCCATCTTTGTTCATTGCCTTTTTTTTTTTTCTTTTTTTTCACGAAGGGTCTCATAGTCCAGGCTAGCCTGGAATTTGCAACGTATCCAAGAATGACCTTGAACTCCTGATTCTTTTGCCTCTACCTCTAGACTGCTGGGATTCCAGGCATGCTACACCATGCCTTGTTTCTGCAGTGCTGGGACTCAAACAAAGGACTTAAAGCCTGCTAGGCAATTACTCTACCAGCTGAGCTATGTCCTCAGCCCTGCTTATTATACTGTGACTGAAAATGTTTCCTGAATTACATGTGTTGGTAAATGTAAAAACAAATCATTTTTTGCATAATTATGTCTGAGATGATGTAATTCAACCTACCCTGCCATGGAATTGTTTACCTCATAGATTTTGGAGTTGATTCTGATAGTAGGAATAGGTTTGGAAACAGCCTGTACTGTCTGCTTCTATCTCACTGAATCATAGTTCTCTTGTGTTAAGTGTACCCCACACAAAGAGAAACTAAGCAGAGAGATACTATTTGTTTAATCTTAACAAAGTAGCTGGTTGAGTTTGGTTTGTGAGAAGGCATCCTAGGAAGACTCCATGCTCTTAGCAGCAGTTGATTGAAGGAGTGGAAAAAGGGTAATCTGCCTTCACTTTTGTAACATCTTAGGAAAAAAGTTGCCATGGAAAATTTAATTATGCTAACTACTTTTCTAGCTCAGACAAGTGAGGCACAAATTGGCTCTTCCAGAGCAGACAATCTTTCATCTCCCATTGTATCATCTCTGCCTCAGTTTGTTATGTGAACACAAAATACAACACAGACTGCTGTTTTCAGCCCTATTAATTTACAAGGAAGCAAAGATCTTTGATACCAAATAGAGATGTAGTTGCTTAAAACTCAATTTTTCAAAAAAGAGTCATTTGATAATAAATGGTTGTTCTAAAATGATCTGATTTTTTTTCAGTAATTCTTTCTGAAAGAATTTGATCTTTATTTTAAATATGTGAATACATGTTTTAAATGTGTTTTTAAGGTTTTACATTTTGTTATATTAAAAATTGCAGATATTTGACTCTAAAATTGTGATTTGTGTCATTCAAGCCCTTGAATAAACCTATTTATAAGAATAAAAAGCTTTTAAATAGTTTGTTCAGTATATTTGTTTTATTTGGAAATTAATTCATATTTTGTCATTTCATACATATGTAAAGTACATTCTGATTGTTCTAATTCTTCTCCCACCTCTGTTACTCTCACAAGCCCTTTTCTATATTTGTACCTTTTTTGAGCTCCATTGAATTTAATCAAGAGGATCTGTGTGATCATGGATGAGTTTGGAGCTGACAGCCTGGTAATCTGACCAGTGGGTATGCAGCTGAAGACAAGGACTGCCCTTCTGCTTGCCATGGCCAGTGGAACCATGTGGCCTGGGAAGGGGAGAATGGTAGACAGAGTTGTAGGACTCAGTTCGTTTTGGGGATGAACAGTTTACTTTCTCCACCATTGTTTATATAGCATTTAGCTACTAAAGATAACAGTGAAAACAGGGTTAAGTGATCGTTATGACTCCTCTGTCCCAATCTCTTGAGTTTCTGTCACATTACTTCAGTATTTTGTGTGTGGTTTTTTTTTTTTCTATCAGAGGATATTTATTATAAGTTAGCTCATAATATGGTTTTCTACAGTCAGATCACATCTTTGTCAGGGTTTGTGCCTGAGGAAGGAATCGTAAACCATCTGGACCCTGAAATCCACTAGAAACCATCAGTAACAAATAGTACAAAAGTGAGGGATAAGCTACCGGGAGTGCAATAGGCTCATGGCAGCCAGCCCCAGCTGATGTGAGGTCATGACTAGATTCCCGAAGGTGGCACTTCATAGATCTTGTCTCTTCAATACTGCCTGCTCTCCTGTGATGATCCACGAGCCTTAGAGAAAGATGTACAAATGCCTGGCTTAGGGCTGACTTAACTTTCACTTGTTTCACTTTCTCAGTCGTGGATCTTTTGCATTCACCAACATCTACTGCAAATATAAGCTTTGAAGTTAGGAGTAACGTAGTTATAAACAAGTATGAGGTAGCTTAGTATAGATAAATAGCTACACAATAGTAGTAGCTTGCCTTGGGGCCTAAGGCTTCCTTAGCCATACATTTTCTTTTAACAAGTTTTATAACACCAAGCATGAGTTCCTTGTTGTTTGGGCCAGAGATATAACCAGTGAGCAGAGTTGGTTACCCCCATAACTGTTGTGCCACTATTGTACCAGTAGATACACCTTACCTGGTAGGTTGCTATTTTAGTTCATAGACTTTACATCTGACTTGATTCTTTTTCTTCCCCAACAGCCTGCTTGTATAACATACTTGAGTACCCATGAAAACTAGTCAATAGGAAGGGAGCGTCCAGCTCAGTTCTAACTTTATTACTTGGCAACCAACTGTGCTGTCTTAATAGGATCTTATCAACAAATTCTGGTGGACAATCAGTAAGAGTAGCAAGAATGTATTTCGGTGAATCTGAGGTGTCCCTAACCCAACAATTCATAAAAGTGCCTTATGCCTGGCTTTCAGGAGCAGTATTATCCAGACATAGAGTCTTAGCTCCGTTCCAAATCTCTATTTTTAGCTTACATTTTTAAAGTTTTGTTTTTGTTCTTCTTTTCAAGAGAGGGTTTTTCTTTGTAGCGTTGGCTGACATGGTTTGTAGACCAGGCATGGTCTTAAACTCACAGAGATCCTCCTGCCTCTGCCTCCCAGAGTTCTGGAATTACATTTGTGTGCCACCTTGCCCAGCATAATTTTTTTTTTTAATAACTTTCTATATGGCTTCTCATGCACTCTTAGCCTTAAACCTCTTTCCCCTCATCTTTTCCATCTCTCTGCCCTGATCCCTGTTTAAACTTTCTGACCTCAGCACTCACCCTCTCGAGTCACATATCATTATAATCTTCTCTCCCATTCCTTTAAGTCATGTTCCATCCCCAATAGCCCTCTTCTGGTTTCTGTGCTTCTTTAGGATAAACAGAAAAGCCCGAGATTTGAAGCTAGGATTCACATATTAAAGAGAACACATGCTCCTCTTTCTGAGGCTGGGCCACCTTGCCTTGCTCAGTATAAGTTTTTCTAACATCTTCTATTTACTTAAAATTTTTTATAATTTTTTTTCTCTTGGCAGCTGATAAAAGTCCGTTATGTATATGTATTGCATTTTCATTGTCCATTCATCAACTGATGGATGGCTAGGCTGATTCCATTTCCTATCTGTTGTAAATGAAGCAGCAATGAATATGGCTGACCAGGATAAGGTCCCTTCAGAGTATGCCCAGCAGGTAAAGTGGGGACAAATGAGATTGCTCTAATTTCAGTATTTTAAGGAACAGCAACACACCAGTAGTGGCTACACCCATTTGCACTCCCATTAAGAGTGAATAAAAGGTTCCTCTTGATCACATTCCTGCCAGATTTTTTTTTTTTTATGATAGCCATTCTAACAGGAGTGAGATGGAATCTCAAAGAAGTTTGAACTTCCATTTTCCTGATGGCTAATAAAGCTGACAGCTTTCAAGTTTTTATTAACCATTTATATTACTTATTTGGTGAGTTCTCTGTTCAATTAATGGCCCATATATTGATAGGGTTGTTTGTTCTCTTGATTATTATTTTTTCAGTTGTATATTCTAGATATCCAATTTCTCTGAGGCATAGCTGACCAAATTTTCTACCATTTGGTAGGCCGCTTCTTCACTTAATTAGTGGTTTCTTTTGCTATATAAAGGTTTTCTTGTTACTGTTTGTTTCATGACACCTTTTCTAAGGTGTCGGACATATTTCTTTCACTATTGGCATTCTATTCAGAAAGGCCTTGTCTGTGTCTGTATGTTGTACTCTTATCTTTTACAATTTTGAAGTATGCAGTCTTATGTTGAGATCCTTGGTCTATTTTGAATTGAGTTTTGTAGAGGATGAGAGGTAGAGTTCTGATTTCATTTTTCTACATGTTGATAACCATTTCCTGGACCATTTGTTGAAGATAGTTTTTCTCTTGTTATAGAGGTCTTTCATTTTTTGGTTAGGTTTCAGTAAAATAATAGTAGTAATAATAATAATAATAAATTGTTGCTTTAAAATAATTATATTTTATTATTAATGAAATTATTATTTTATAATGAATTCTTGTTGTTATTATTATGTCTATTTGTCTGTCTTTCTGTCTCTCTGTTGTGAATGAGATTGTTTTCCTGTCTTCTTTTCCATATGTTTGCCACTGGTATAAAGGAAGCCTACTGTTTTTGTGTATCAATTTTGTATTCTGGCACTTTGCTGAAAGGAATCATGGATCTTGTCAAAGGCCTTTCTGCCTGCATTGAGATGATCTGGTGATTTCCTTTTTTTAGTCTACTTATTTAATGAGCTTCATTGACTGGCATAGATATGTATCTACAGATATGCACACACACACACTGTCAATGCATACCAACTATCCCTAGGCTTCTGGGCTGAGACACATTTGGTTATGATGAATGATCTTTTTCTTATGATCTTGAATCTCTTTTAAATATCTCTTGAGAATTTTTACATCTAAATGAGGAGATTGGTCTGTTATTTTCTTTTTGATTGTGTCATTTTCTGGGTTTGGAATCAAGGTGATATTAGCTTCATAAAAAGATTTCAGAAGCCTTCATTTTTTATTTTGTGGAATAATTTGATTAGGGCTGACATTAGTTCTTCTTTAAAGGTCTGGTAGAATTCTGTAATGAGTCCATCTTGTCTTAGACTTTTTTTAGTTGGGGAAGTTTTAGTTACCACTTCAGGCTCACTGCTGCATATAGGTCTCTTAATATTATTTACCTTTGTTTAATTTTGGTTATTTTCACTTAGAAATTTATCCACTTCCTTTAATTTTTCTAAATTAGAAGAACATAAGTTTTTAAAGCTATATATTGTCATGATTTTCTGAATTACCTTGATATGTGTTGTAATGTCGATGTTCTCAATTATGGTTTTATTAAATTGGGACCTGACCCTACTTCTTTTGGTTACTTTGATTAAAGTCTTGTCATTTTTGTTTGTGTTTTCAAAGAATTAACTCATTTTATTAATTTTTGTGTGTAGTTTTTCATTTTTACTTTATTAATTTCAGCTCTTATCTTGATTATTCAATATCCTTTATTTGTTCTGTTGTTACTTTTGAGAGAGTTAGAGCATTTCTGGGAACAGCTTAGGTGGGACCAGTACATTTTTGAACTATGGATGTCTAATGTTGTCCCTTTATGTACTATATCACAGTGTTTTAAGTCTAGGGACCACCTGACAATATCCTGTGGGGTCATATCAAACAAAACAAAGGTGGTTTTTCAAAAAAAAAAAAAATAGCAACTTAGTTTTACTGAGGCCTAACAAACTTCTCACAAAAAAGGGAGATGAGAGCTTGGGTGTTTCTGTAGAACTGGAAGTAGCAGGAACAGAGAGATGTCTAAAGATGCTATGGAGTACAGTCCGGGCTTCAAGGAATGTGAGCAGAAATTCATAGTGAAACTACTATAACCCGAGTAGCTGACCAACCTTTCTGGAGCATGTTCCAGACATTCGTCTCAAATATAAACCATGTGTTAATTTAAGTGCTTATTCATGTAAGTCCTCCACAAAACAGATGCTACTATGATTGCAATTCTGTCGTTGAGGAAAAAAGGAAGGAACAGGGTATTAAAACTTGGAGAATGTAGCTTTAGAAGAATGATCTCTCAACTGGGGTACCATTTTGATTCTTGGACCTAAAGATTCCTTTTAATCCTTGAAAGTCTGTGAAGTTAACCTTAGGCAGAAAGTCAAGATGGAGGGCACACACCACACGAGAAGTACAGGGTTGAGAAGATGTTTATTGTTTGAGAAAGGATAGAGAAATACTTACAATTTCAGTTTTAAAAAAGGTGAATGAAAACTGTTCTGTGCCCCAGCCCCCATCTTAATACTCTTTGAGGTGAGACCAATACTCGAGGGAAACCAAACTAAGACAACATCTGAGACGTAATTAGGCTTTAAACCTGGAAAAATCATGGGATGGGATCTCACTCAGTAAGTTTAAAGTAGCACGACTTAGAAATTTACTGTGGTCTAAGACTCTGCCCCTTTATGTAATACAGAAAAGAA